AGATGGTTCATCTTTAACATCTCTGCTTAAAGATGTTCTGCTGCGTCCTCCATATTTCCACCTGCTGGGTGAACATTTACTTTGCCATCTGGCATGTCTGGAATTAGACTCACCAGCTTCTTCTCCCTTCCTGTGTCCACATTAGTATCCATGAAGGCATCAGTTTTCCTTCAGCTCATTCTTTAAACCTCATGCTTTTTCAACTGCTCTGCTTCATTTCTTGTAACCCCTAAGTCATTCATTCCTGGGGAGTCTGTAGTCTGGAAGGTTTTGACCTTTGATGTGAGACAGCCCTAACTTCTGGCCCTGGTTCTGCCACTTAATAGCTATGTTTCTTGTGTAAATTACTTTCCTTCCTCATTTCCTTGTTTGTAAAATTGGGATAACACTTGCCTTAGAGGGTAGTTGTAAGAATCAAATAGAATATCTAGTATTATGTCTAGAATGTTGTAAGTTTTCAATGCATGGCAATTAGTGCTACTGTTGTTGTTAAACATGAATGTTCCATCTTCCATATCTGTTCCTTCCTTTGGTTGCCATCTAGCCTAAGCTCTTGGCCCTTCTCTCTTGCATTAGTTTCACAGCTTCTTGGCTGATCTTCTTGTTCTCCAGTCTGTCTTGTCAGACCAATAGTTGGTTATTAAGCATCTGTTTTTTTAATTAGCATGCTCAAAAACCTTAGTAGATTCCGGTTTCCTATCTTGTCATCTAAACTCTGGGATCCAGCTTTCCAGGCCTCCCTTACATGTAGGAGCCTCTTCATCGTCTGTCTGCATTCACCCTGATGTCCCCAACCCCACTCAAACTGTTTTGTGTGTTACATCCAGGAAGAACCTTTCAAAACAGATCATGTCACGCTTGTACACACATGCACCACAGAAAATCCTTCAGGGAACTCAGTATAAAATGCCAAAATCAGGTCCATCCCTGCCCCTCTGTTCACCCTCATCTTGTGCCATTCTTGCCTCTTGCTGTCTCCACGCCAGCCACCAGGCCCTTTCTAAAATTTGTTTATCTAGCATGCTGCTTCCTTCATAGCCTTGTACATGCTTTTTTCTCTCCCTGTAATGTTCTTCTCACCCCATCCATTCATTGTTACATTATTTCAGCTCTTGACATACATGTCACTTTCTCATGGAAGCCTTTGCTGGCTAAGTCAAATCTATCTGCTACCTCCTAAAAGCACATACCTATCTTTCAGTGCATTTAGTACAGTTGCAATTTTACATGTATGTAGCTGAATATTTCACAGACATATTTCTCTTTAAGTAGTTAGCAAACTCCAAGAGTATAATTTTTGGCCATTAGTGGGTTTTTTTTTTCATTGTTTGGATCTGTGTTTGCCACATAATAATTGATTAAAAATACTGAATTAATGAATGAAACTTGTTTTCCTCATTTTATACTGAATGCCTGTATCTCCATAACATGGAATCATGACATATCCCTTTCATTATTTTCTCATTGATATGCAATGCCCAACCTTTACCCCCAAGTTCCTCATCCCTGGAATGTCTACTTTGATTCCTATGATTTACCTAAATCTATCCTTCAAAGATCAGCTCCAGTGTTTCTACTACAGAGCCTCTAAAAAACCACATTAGTCTTCATGAAGGACCCTCCTTTTTGTAAGTGTACACATCACCATTTGATTTCACATTTCACGATTTATGGTATCACCCTATTGTTTCACATCATTATCCTGTTTTCCTAGTCAGCTTGCAAGTCTCACAGAGGCCAGATCATTTCTGCATCCTGCTCAGATCATAAACCATTCTGTCCAATATATACTAAGGGGCAAAAAAATGTTTGCCAAAACAATGGGTACATCTGGAAACTGCAAAAAGTAGTTCTGGGAAGTTCCTAGAATGAAAGTCAGTGTATCTGGGATTCAACACAAAATGAATTTTAGTCCTTGCTTTCATTCACCTGTGGATCTCTCTAAGAATTTCCGTTTCTTAAGCTCAATGGGAGTGCTAATGTGACATAAACACTAGAAATCTCGAAAACTCTTTTCTTCAAGGTTTGAGATCAATGAAAAGGACTTGTCCTTGTCATCTTAAAATGGCAGTCTTGACCTCTCTAAGGCACAATTCACATAATTTTCTTTCAGGCTTTAAATATCTTTCTGTCTGTAAAATCTTTAGAATTCCAAGGTATAAACTTAATAATTAAATAAGCTTTTTATAATTAGGATGATTATTTCAGGCAGTCAGTTACTCCTATGCTAAACCATATTAAAAATTCCATCTGAAATCATTTGAAAGGTAATACCAGGAAATCATTTTCAGCATCACAAGACATTAAAAACTTAGTCGTAGCAGCCTACAAGTTGGTGTATGAGAAATACAGAATGCTCAGGGCTACCTCTGTGATACCCTACAACACAGATGAGAAAGTTATTAAGTGTGTGAGTATCACAGCCTCCTGTATTACAGTATTTATAATCTTACAATCTTGTCATATTACAGATGGGTTGTACATTATTTCATTCTCACACTGCATGAAGAAATGCCAAAGACTGGGTCATTTATAAAGAAAATAGGTTTAATTGACTCACAGTTCCATATGGCTGGGGAGGCCTCAGGAAACTTACAATCATGGTGGAAGGTACTTCTTCACAGGGAGGCAGGAGAGAGAATGAGTGCCAGCAGGGGAAATGGCAGACACTTATAAAACTGGTCAGATCTCATGAGGCTCTTACACTATCACTAGAAAAGCATGGAAGAAACCATCCCCATGATCCAATTACCTCAGTTATCAATTATCATTTATCACTGATAAAAATGGATGTAACCATAATTTTCTCCTAGAGTGTAGTAGGTATTTGTCAACATAGAGACTGGGAAACTTATAGATGATTTGTATTTATAATATCCAAAGTATATTGATGGGAAAATTAATTTTTAATTGCTAATATAAAATATTTTAAGGTATAAATGCATAATGAATACAATGAGGTACATATACAGCCTCATGAAGTTTTAAGAACACATTTTCACTCATATGACCACCACCCACATCAATATATAGAATATTTCTAGCTTTGCAGGAGACCCCTTTGTGCCTTTTCTTGGCCATATTACATCTCCTGCCACAATGTAATCATTACCTGATTTCTGTTATCCTTGATCAGTTTTGTCTGATTGTATTAGTCTATTTTGATACTGCTGATAAAAACATACCCTAGACTGGGCAATTTAAAAAGAAAGAGGTTTAATTGAACTTACTTTCCTACGTGGCTGGGGAAGCCTCACAATCATGGCAGAAGGCAAGGAGGAGCAAGGCACGTCTTACATGGATGGGAGCAGGCAAAAAGAGAGAGCTTGTGCAGGAAAACTCCCATTTTTAAAGCTATCAGATCTTGTGAGACTTTTTCCCTATCATGAGAATAACACAGGAAAGACCCACCCCTATGATTTAATTACCTTCCTCCAGGTTCCTCCCATGACACATGGGAATTGTGGGAGTTACAATTCAAGATGAGATTTGGGTGAGGACACAGCTAAACCACATCACTGATTATGAAAATGTACATGAATGAAGTCATATGCTATGTATTATTTTGTTTCTGGCTTATTTTGTCCAACACTAACCATGTTGCTATGAGTATCCATAGTTTGTTCTTTTCTGTTGCTTTGCAGAATTCCATCATATCAACACCCCATGATATATATCTATTGATTCTTTTCGCCATGGTTAATTGTTTTTTTTCCAGTTATTAGTTATTAAAAAAAAAGATACTATTAGCATTCTTATACATGTCTTTTGATGGACATATGTACTTATTTCTGTCATATAAATCCTTAAGAGTGGTACTGCTGGGTCATAGGGTAGGTATATATTATTAAATTGTAGTGTGTATTGCCAAATAGTTTTCTCAAGTGATTGAACAATGATGTATTTTAACTCATAAACAAAGTATATGAATCCAAGCTAACTACTATTGCATAGTACAAATTGTGCCATTTGTTTCTGATTTATTATTATGAATTTATATTTTAAAAGTATCTTAGGCTCTAAAACTTGGCCAGCCCAAGTGACGATTGGAATTAAAGTGAAAGGAGGTTGAAAAATATTTATAGTCTAAAATTCCACTTTAAAAATTCAGCTTTATAGAAAGGCATTAAATGATTGAAACTTTAATAAATGCTGTCATTTGGTAAATTGGTCTTTCCTTCAGAGTGCTGGGACTTAATATTTGGAGATTAAAATTAATTAATAGTAATTTAGAAAAATGTATTAAGAAACTTATTTGGCCAGGCATGGTGGCTCATGCCTGCAATTCCAGCACTTTGGGAGGCTGAGGCAGGCAGATCACCTGAGGTCAGGAGTTCAAGACCAGCCTGGCCAACATGGTGAAACCCCACCTCTACTAAACAAGTACAAAAATTAGCTGGGCATGGTGGTAGATGCCTATAAGCCCAGCTACTCAGGAGGCTGAGGCAGGAGAATTGCTTGAGCCTGTGAGGAGGAGATTACAGTAAGCTAAGATCGTGCCACTGCACTCCAGCCTGGATGACAGAGCAAGGCTCTTGTCTAAAAAAAAAAAAAAAGAAACTTTTCTTGCCTTGGTCAAACAAGAAGAAATAATTCAAAGCAGATACATGAAAAAGAATAGTGATTTGGGCTAAATGTATTGTTCTGTTGAATAATTGGAGTTCATTCCTCCTAAACCTGATAAAAATAACATCTTGATGTTCCAGGTTCGCACCAGCAGTTTTATATTTATTTTTTGCTCTCATAAGTCCATAAAGTATATTCTTTCATATGACCAGAGAATTGTCTGACTTGCTTTCACTGTAATTTTGCTGCATCCAATTTATAAGTTCTTTTGGAAAGAGGAAGATTATTTCTTTATCTATTTACAAGGGATTGAAAACCACAGAACACTAAATTTTCTGTGCAGAGACATAGGGAAATGAAAAACTCCACACAGAGGTCTCCTGTCATTCCTTCTGAGTGTAAAATAAGATGTGCTTTTGCTTTTTCTGTTTCAGTTATCCCAGGGATCTCCAGAACCGATTGAGCCCAACTTTTTTACAGCAGATTACCATTTTTTACATCATTCATCCGGTAGAAACAGCCTGTCCCCAAATGACCCAACAGGTAATGATAATCAGCATGGGTAATGTGGCTTTCATGAAGAAATATATTGTTTGGATCACCAGCTGTTTCTAAAAGATTATCTTCAATTTTTTAAAATAGAGCTTATTTTGATTATTTATGGCAATAGTTGGAAGTCACATATGGTAGGAATCTAGAAATTCCCTGAGATTTATCTTACCCAGTGTGGCAGCTTCCTTGATCATTTATTAATATTATAAACAAACAGCAGAATCTGTGTGGGTGAGTTGTATTTCCTTTTATTTCTTTTTGCTTATCTGATGATGGGAAATCAAATGCCCTAAAGCATGTAGGGAGATAAAGGGCAGAAATAAAGAGTTTAAATATTCAAAATACAGAAACCTTGAAAGTCACCTGAAGACTCCACATTAGACACGTTTAATTTTTTTTTTCTCTTTTACATAAAATTCACATTGGGAGTCAGTGTAGCATAGGGATTTAAAGGTATACATTCTGGAAACCTGGATGCCTAGACTCAAACTTCAGCTAAACCATTTAGTAGCTGACCATGGACAATTATTTAACCTCTCTGAACCCCAGTTTCCTTGCCTGTAAAATGGGGATAAACACTTGCATGATAAAGCTATAGTGAGAATTAAAGTAAACTAAAACGTGCCTATCAGTAGGGGCTCAGCATAACTGAACTCTTCTTGCCATTTCTGAATTCTAAAAGGAAGCTTTCAAGCTGCTCTGAGCTTTCAGTACTCCTAAATAATTTTTGAACCTTTATAAACTGTAGCTGTGTCACTTGGAAGAGTGGATAGAAGTGAAGATTTTTCAGTTAAATGAAGACTTGCCATCTCTTTAGCCTGGAAAAAATTGCTGACTTTTGTTGTTGACTGAATGAATTATTTCATGAATTAATTGACAGAATTTCCCTTGGTCTTCTGGAATAGAGCTAACCCCTATATATGCAGAATTGTGTTTAAAATAATACCTGGGAAATCCAAGATAAAATGTTTAAAGTCATTTGCTTTTAAAAACATCTCCAAGGCAGGTAAGTTTATCTGCAGGCCAAACGTCTCCTTATTGTAGAAACTCTGATGAAATGAAGAACTTTGATAGAAGTCTCTCAAAAACCTGCGGATGATTTGACAAACTCCTCCCAGGGCAGCTGGATGCCCCAACCTAGAGCTGACCAGGCTTGTCCCATGTCACAGCAGCCTGGGCAAAAGCAAAAATGGCAGAGCCTGCCAGTATTGTAAAGAATGCCTTTAAAAATGAGCCACCAGTACTTACATTTTCATGTCTCTCCCTAACCCTAAACCCATTCTCTCTTCTCTATTTGAAGTGGCAGAGAGCTCCTGGGGCTCTACATGTCACTGTTGATTGGTTTAAGTGAAAGCTGGTTAACACTGCTTTAGGTGGCATTGGACTGGGTTAAGGTGCCAGTATACCACATTCTGATCAACCATCATAAAATCTGTCCAGCAAGACAATGCTAAGCAAAAAGTACAAAGCTGGAGGTATCATGTTATCTGACTTCAAACTATAGTGCAAGGCTACAGTAACCAAAACAGCATGGACTGGTACAAAAACAAACACACAGAACAATGGAACAGAATAGAGAACTCAGAAATAGGACCATATATCTGGAACCGTCTGATGTTTGACAAACCTTACAAAAACAAGCAATGAGGAAAGGATTTCTTATTTAACAAAAGGTGCTGGGAGAACTGGCTAGCCATATGCAGAAAATTGAAACTGGACCTCTTCCTTACACTTTATACAAAAATTAATTCAAGACGGATTAAAGGCTTAAATGTAAAACCCAGAATTATAAAAATCCTAGAAGAAAATGTAGGCAGTACCATTCAGAACATAGGCATGGGCAAAGATTTCATGGTGAAAATGTCAAAAGCAAGTACAACAAAAGCAAAAGTTTACAAATGGGACCTAATTAAACTAAAGAGCTTCTGCACAGCAAAAGAAACTATCATCAGAGTGGACAGGCAACCTACAGAATGGTAGAAAATTGCAATCTATCCATCTGACAAGGGTCTAATAACCAGAATCTGCAAGGAACTTAAATTTACAAGAAAAAAGCAACTCCATTAAAAAGCAGGCAAAGGACATGAACAGACATTACTCAAAAGAAGACATTTATGCAGCCAGCAAACATATGATAAAAAACTCAGTATCACTGATCATTAGAGAAATGCAAATCAAAACCACAGTGGGATACCAACGCATGCCAGTCAGAATGGCAATTATTTAAATGTCAAGAAACAACAGATGCTGGTGAGGCTGTGGAGAAATAGGAATGCTTTTACACTGTTGCTGGGAATGTAAATTAGTTCAACTATTGTGGAAGACAGTGTGGTGATTCCTCAAAGACCTAGAACCAGAAACACCATTTGACTGAGCAATCCCACTCCTGGGTATATACCCAAAGGAACATAAATCATTCTGTTATAAAGATACATGCGCACATACATTTATTACCGTACTATTCACAAAGTGCTGGAATCAGCAAAGACGTGGAATCAACCCAAATGCCTATCAATGATAGGCTGGATAAAGAAAATGTGGACGCCAGGCGCGGTGGCTCAAGACTGTAATCCCAGCACTTTGGGAGGCCAAGGCGGGTGGATCACGAGGTCAAGAGATCAAGACCATCCTGGTCAACACGGTGAAACCCCGTCTCTACTAAAAATACAAAAAATTACCTGGGCATGGTGGCACGTGCCTGTAATCCGAGCTACTCAGGAGGCTGAGGCAGGAGAATTGCCTGAACCCAGGAGGCGGAGGTTGCGGTGAGCCGAGATCGCGCCATTGCACTCCAGCCTGGGTAACAAGAGCGAAACTCCGTCTCAAAAAAAAAAAAAGAAAATGTGGTACATATACACCACGGAATACCCTGCAGCTGTAAAGAGGAATGAGATCATGTCCTTTGCAGGGACATGGATGGATCTGGGAGCCATTATTCTCAGCAAACTAACACAGGAACAGAAAACCAAACACTGAATGTCCTGATTTATAAGTGGGAGCTGAACAATGAGAACACATGGACACGGAGAGGGGAACAACACATACTGTGGCCTGTTGGGGTGGTGGGGTGGGTGAGGGGAGGGAGAGCATCAGGATAAATAGCTAATGCATGTGGACTAATACCTAGCTAACGAGTTGACAGCTGCAGCAAACCACCATGGCACATGTTTACCTATATTACAAACCTGCACATCCTGCACATGTATCCTAGAACTTAAAATTAAATCAAATTAAATGTAAAAAAAAATCTAGCCCTGGATGGTGGCACATGTGAGAGGATGCCTTGAGCTCAGGAATTCAAGACTAACCTAGGCAACATAGAGAGACCCTATCTCTACAAGATCATGATGATAATAAACATTTAAAAAGTCTTCTGACAATAAATATATTTTTCCCTCTAGGCAGCCATATGAAAGGGTCAGATCTTTGTTGTCTTTCACATTTATATCTGCCTCTTTGTAAGAACCAATTTTCTTTCTAGCTTATATTTATTCTTGTTGACTGTGTATTGAGGAAAGTTTCTTAATCAGAAAACACCCCTAAGGTAATTTGCATTTGGAATCACCCTCACTTGCCCTTAACACACACACACACACACACACACACACACACCCCTCTAACTTAATTGGCCACTATGAGCAATGCTCCTTAAGCTTCACATATCATTTTATGATGGCCTTGCCGAAGGCAGCCTGTTATTAAAGACAGGAAAACAAAATGTTTGAATATTCAAAGCCAAGATGCTTTGGAATATGCTTGTTCCATCTTTATCATTAAGAAATTGATGGTGGAATTGCCCTGTGGTTGAAGTCATAATTGCCAATAAAGAATAACTGAGAAAATGTGAACCCTAATGTCAGACTTTCCATAATTTATATTTTTCAGGTCTACCTACCAGCTTTGATTTGGAGGAAGGAATAACATATGAACAGATGCAGGTAAGGTTTTTATAGTGTCTCTGAATGATTTTATTTTGTTGCTTTTAATTCAATACTAATCTGATTTTTTTAAAAATTTTAGACTGTGATTGAAGAAGTCCTTGAGGAAAGTGGCTATTACAATTTTACATCTAACAGGTAAGATCTGGAATTTGCTTTCAATTGCGAAAGACAAATTGAAGTCATCAGATATTAGATCTAATTTCTCTATCCTTGATTCCAGAGGGTTTTTTTTCCTTTAAATTTTATCTTAAACACTTTTATAAAATATCTTTGCTTAGACTAGATACATCTACAGGTAGAATATATGTGCCTATCTTTTGTGTGGGCACAGTTGCTGTGTTCTCAGTTGAAACAAAAAGGGTGATTGCTTAGTAGTAATTTACTCCCATAAAAAATAATAAACATAAGTAAATGGAAAAGCATTTCTAGATTGATTTTTAAAAAATCAACTATTTGGGCCAGGCGCAGTGACTCACACCTGTAATCCCTGAACTTTGGGAGGCTGAGGCAGGTAGATCACCTGAGATCAGAAGTTCAAGAGCAGCCTGACCAATATGTTGAAACCCCATCTCTACTAAAAATACAAAAATTAGCTGGGCATGGTGGCGGGTGCCTGTGGTTTCAGCTACTCGGGAGGCTAAGACAAGAGAATTGCTTGAACCCGGGAGGCGTAGGTTGCATGAGCCAAGATCGCACCACTGCACTCCAGCCTGGGCAACAGAGTGAGATTCCGTCTAAAAAAAAAAAAAAAAAAAATCAAGTATTTGTTTGTCTCATTCTAAAAGAGCTGAAAAGTCACTCCTATCACTTAAATCTACCCATTATTTGCACAGAAGGCTAGGGACAAAGTGCAACAGAACAAAGAATCATTTCTTGTTAGTGTAAGATATATTCGTGAAGAATAGACTTTGCTATTATGTGTTACCATTTGCTTACCCTAAATAAAAACCTCCATTTACTGCAGCTATATGTTATCTTCCAATAAAGCTATTATTGGTGTCCTAAGAATATATGTTATTTTATCAATCGCATCAATTTCTATTATTTTACTTTTGGATATAACGTTGGCACAACAATTTGAGTACAATTAGTTTACTAAGAAGTTATTCAAGAAAGTTTTCATAATCAAGCAAATTAGCACTGTAGGTGATTGGAGCCTGATCCCACTGGGGAAGTCTAAAAGCTGGTGTACAACGTGTACCTCAGTCATCCCACACAAAGAGTGAGGGAGCTTGGGTATTTATCCTCCAATCTCCATCAGTCATTGTTTAAGGCCTTTCCCTAGGAAGTGTTAATTCTCTGTTTTTTCTGGCCTTTTGTAAATATGAACAAAGGAGATTCCAGGGGTCAGAGAAATCCTCAGGAAAAGAAATGCAGATTTTTTTAAAAAAAATTGAATTTCTTTATGTATTGGCAGGTAGAAATCCACCAGCATACTTTGAAGTGGAATAGATAGCGGGCATGGGCATTTACAGCGCCTGCTACACAGGAGTTTTCTCTTGACTTAACTAAGGAGATACTCATAGCTGAGTCATCATATTGATTGCAAGTATCCATATACACACTCTCTATGAGCCACAGTTGTTTTAGGAGGCATAGTCCATCAGGGTATATTCTCCCAAAGTGGTCTTTTATGTCTGGAGGAGCTGCCTTCCTTTTCAATTATTGAAGCTATTTTGTGAACACTTTAAATTATTCCAGAAGTCTTCACCAAAGATGACTAGTAACAATGGAAAGAGAAAGAGGGCTCAAGAACATCCTGTTAAGGTCTAGAAATTAGATTCTTTAAGGTTAGTTCAGTCTCCAGTGTTTCTTCTCCTTTTTTTTTTTTGTTTCTTCTTCTTCCATTTCAAAGAGCTTTTCTTATGAATCACAAATAAAATTATTCAAGTACTTGCTCTTTGGGCTTGATAACAGAGTCTCAAAATACTACCTTTATAAATTTAGTTCTGTTGTGATTTGTAACTGCAAAGGAATGATGAGTAATTCTCATTTTCCAAAGATACATCATTAATAGAAATAACCATCTCCACAACTACTCTCCTCCCACCATCCCTGGAGAGACTTTTGAATTTTCTTTTTCTATTCAAGGGCTGAGTATATCCAGCCTTTCATGGATAGTATGAATATTTCTGTTTTTAACTCTGAGCCTTGTTATTTCAATGCCCTTGGCTTGTAGTGGGGCATTTCATTTTATCTGCATTTCCTCAGAGACTTGATACCATGGGCAATGAATGTGTTCATATTTTTTTTGCAGAAAATCATCTAAATATCAAGGAAAACTAAATGTGCAAAGAACTTAAGGAAGCTCTTACAAGAACTTTCATTTTTTATTTATTAAAAATATTCAAGTCTTATTTTGGAATTTATCATTATTCTTTTTAAATTCTGCTTTCATTAGGTTTTAAACAGATCTAGTTCCAAAGACATACACCTTTATTAGAAGACATTGCAAATTTCCTTATTATGATAAACAGATAATAAGATGCCTTATAACAAAGGCAAAAAAACTATTCAGTAATATTTGTAAGTGGAATAGAATATGAAGGTATTATATAACTATCAAGTTGAAGCAATATAAGTTGAATATGACATTAAATTTCCTTAGAGTGCTCCAAATTAAAATGAATCACATTTAAAAATCCATGTATCCATGGTATTCCCTTTTTGGCTTCTAATAGCAGTGATAGAACATATCTCTGGAGAAAAACTCTCCACAATTTGCTTGTAAAAAGAACCCTTGTTTGTGCCTAAAGCCACTGTTTATTAGTGTTCCAAAATAATTCCGAAGAAATAAGTCAGGCTTAAATTAGAAGCACCTAATAATCCACACACTGGACATAACACATAACTCCAAGTACAAATCAGAATAGCTGGTACCATCATGCTTTTTGCCACAGTCAAAGGATGGGGGGTGCTAAATGCAGAGGTATGTAGAATCAGTATTTAAAATTAGTAGAGTGCATTTTTTCCCAATTGGTTTCATAGAATGGCCAATATTATCAAAGATGTCAATAGATACTCTCTGAAAAATGAAGTTTCATGACCACACATATCTGGGAAACTCAGAATGTACAATTTTCCATTTTTGGAGAATGTTGACACCTATTACTATATTAAAGACTCCGAGATGTACTGCAGAGGAGAGAAGTCTGTTGACCTTGTTGGTTGACCTCAGTGTTTTCCTCATTCTTTACATGGAACACAGCTGAGAAAAGCTTTGTGGTTGGAAATGGGAAACGCTATTTTCACTCCTTCACCAGGGTCTACCCAGATCTCTTTTGTTCTCATTGACATGGTCCTCCTCTTAACTGTCATCATCATCATTGTAGAATTTGTTCTTAAATGAATTAAGCACCATCCAGAGAAAGTTATATACATAATTCCTATATTATTCAAGTTTACAATAAGACTGTCAGTTTGAGTAGTACATACGTCATCTAGCCAGTCACTAAAGCATTCATTCAAGATAAGGTATGTTTTTGGCTTAAATTGTAGGGTTTATATTTAGTTAAGGAAGAGAATAGAGAGGTGTCATTTTCAGACTGGAAGTCCCAGGATAAAGCCATTATCTATCTGTTAGCTATCTTTGAGGAAGATTTCCGCAACTGTTTAAATCGTGGGGAGACTGCTTGGACAGTTAGGTAGAATGTCTCAGGCATAAAATGCTGCATTAGGAAAAGAAAATGGTTAACAGGAACAGAAATAGTAGCAAGGATCTCTGACCAATGTGGGGTTTTTCTCATTTCTGGGCTTTTGGGAAAAAGGGAACTAGGACTGAGTTGGAAGGAAGAAAGCTGTATAAAGAAGATTAAGAAGGTCAAAAGGCTTGGCCATCCTCATAACGGTTCCCAAAGCAGACTCTATTCTTGATTATTGGCATGGTTGTATGATAAATTACATTTTACACACATAAGCATTTAGCTTGCTTACCAGAATGATGTAACTTAATATGTCTTAATTTTATCATTGTTGTTTGTGAGGATGAAATCATTTGAGTCATGAATAAACATGAGCATATCATTTTTATGAATACGCTTATGGATATACATTAGTATTTTATTTTTAATCATAAAATGTGTGTTAAGAAATAATATACAAGATAACAAGAAATCTGCATTGAATCAATTTGAATTGCTTTATTTCCCCAATTGACTGATAAGCATGTAAAATGGTTATTTCAATCTACACAGGTATTCAAATGTATAAGCTACTTTGAATGAATATTTGTTTTTCTACTACAAAGTATTATCAGTTCCTATTGACTTCATAATTTGAGAAAGGACTTGTTAGCACTAGACTTCAGCCAAAGGCAGCTTTCTAAAAATGTCCCCATCCTAACAAAAATAATCTTTTTTATTTTCTGTGTTTTATTAACTTACATGCCTGAGCCCCAGTTTTTGAAATTGAACCATGTGAACTAAAATATTTGTAACTGTATAGAGAATTCTTTCCACTTCTGAATCTTATAGGTATCATTCCTATCCATGGGGGACCAAGAATCACCCAACCAAAAGATGAAAATGCTGCATTTTGAGTGGACTTGGTTTTCTCAGTGAAGTTCAAGTTCTGAACTTCAGCTACTACTGCAAGATGCCCAAGGATTGGGTGCTGCCAGAGGGTGTGGAAGAGGAAAGACCAAGATGCCATGGAGCCTTCAGGACTTGTTTTCTGGGGGTCCTGTGCTAGAGTGTATGACAGCTGCCGTGCTTGAGGGCTTCATTGCCAGAACACATTATATACAGGATGTCAGAGCTGTCAGTGTGCTGCTGGGAAAAAATGCTGCAAAATTCATCTATGGGGGGAACAAAAAACCAAAACCGAAAACAAAAAAGCTCTCTTACAGAATTTTCCTCCACATTAAAACAAATTGTCATATTTTTCAAAGGAGGCACATTTGATTCTCATAATTGCTGAAAGTATAATTAAAGGCATCTAGCCTTCTATATGTAAAAAATTGTTTTAGATAAAGACAGTTACAGTACTCAGAATAATATATTGGGTGGTTCACTGTATCCTCCATTTTTGTCTTTAAAGAAATTCAAAACCTGTGATTGAATTTTTTTTAATGGACAGATTGCTTCTCTCTTAACCACTTGGGTGTTAGTGGTCTTGAACTGTGATACAGTGTAGACAGTATTTGTGACCTTGCACAGCCTCTGGGAGTAACTGTCAAATTGTCAGATTTAAGTTAGACTAATAGAATATATTGCTGTGCAGTGTGTGTATATGTACACCTATAGGGGGAAGGAGAGAGGTTTTGATTAGACTAACGCTTTGCTGCTAATCAAACTAATAGTATTTTTAGAGCACTTTGAAGAGTTCATAGAATCTATGAAAGAGATGCAATAGTCCTCATCGTAAGTCCCTCCATATTACAATTACCTAAATTGTTTATGAATTCTTATTGTTTAGGCATTTGAAATGTAAATAAGTTAAATCCCTTTTTTACTCATTGAGACAGCGCAAAGAAAGAGAAATCAGAATGCCAAACTGTGGGTCATCCTTTATGTAGGGAGAATTATGATGAATATCTGCTACATTCTCATTGGACTTAAACTCCTTCTCTTCAATCGGCTTCTTAAACCTCTGGTGTAATGTCAAGATATGCCCTCATTGCCAAATCTGACTGCACTTCTAGCTACTTAAAGAGCAATTTATTCTATATAATTAGTAAACTAAGAGTTAAAATTATACTTATTATTTACTTCTTATGGAGTTTTGTCATCTTTGTTTACGTTGATTTATTTAGTATGATTGAATAGATTTTAGTTCAATATATTTACAGTGGTGGAAACACCATAATCTTCTTTCTGTATAGTATGAAAATCTACACTGTTTTTTAAATGAGCATATTTAATACTTAAATTATATCCAAACTCCCTTTAATCATACACTAATGCTTTTGAAGATTGTCAATGGATCTTTCTTTTTTTAAGCAAAATTAATAATTACAGATACACTGTAATGTAAGATAATAGATGCAAACACAGTAATGAAAATTTCAGTTTCAGCCTTCAAATCAGTTCTATCCATATGTGAAATTCACAAACAAAATCAAAATGCTATGATATTGTTGATTTACCCAGGCAAAAGTTTATTTCTTCTAACTTAATTTTAACCTACATTATAATTCTTTATATCTTTCAATGTATGGAAGGGACACATTTCTTCTTCAAGCAGGAAGCACAGGCCTAGAGGGGCACATGTTCTAATTGTGGAGTGAGTTTGAAATCAAGTTCTTTCCTAAATGGTAATATATAGTAAACAGAATTTAGGAAAGAATAGTATTCCAAAGGCATACCGTGATAAGAGAAGGTAAATGGTCTACTTGAAGGTGTTTTAAAATGCATATAGTTGGCCTTATTGACCGGAAAGTGAGCAAAATGTTTTCATCTAACTTTTTTTTTTTTTTTGACAGAGTCTCACTCTTGTCACCCAGGCTGGAGTACAATGGCACGATCTCAGCTCACTGCAACCTCTGCCTCCTAGGTTCAAGCGATTATCATACCTCGGCCTCCTGAGTAGCTGGGATTACAGGCATATGCTACCATGACCAGCTAATTTTTGTATTTTTAGTAGAGATGGAGTTTCACCACATTGGCCAGGCTTGTCTCAAACCCCTGACCTCAGGTGACCTGCCTGCCTCGGCCTCCCAAAGTGCTGGGATTAGAGATGTGAGCCACTGTGCCCAGCCATGCCATATAACTCTTTTAGACGATAGGAATTGGCATTTATTATGCTAGAAGTCAGTGAAAGTTAATATAAGTAAGCAGAACTTTCCAAGAGCAGCTTCAGGTCCATCAACTCTATGCAGATAGATGTATTGTTTTGCTAAAAGTATGAATGTGACCCATTTGAATTCTCCATAAACTATCACAATCACTGAGTCTGCATTTTCCTGTGTCTTTAGGAGAAAGTCAGGCTCTGGCAAAAGTACCATTTTGTACATAGACTCACATCCCAACAGTTAAGTTAACTTTTCAGAATTCTTTCTAACTCAAATATGGAGCACCACCCCTCATGACCAAGAATGATCATTTTGTTTTGATTCTTCAAATCGTCTACTAATGCAAAGGAGTTGTTATATGAACTTAATAGGCCTCCTAATCTTTTCTTGATTGCATTTATATATTTTTTCCTTTTCTCTTGTATAATTTTTAATGATTTGTTGTGCAATGAATCCCCGTGAATGCACCTAATTTCCGTAACTGAATATTTGTATGGAATAGAATATGAATCAGTCTTTTCAGATTACTTCTGCAACGCAAATGCTTCTGTTAATTATGTTTCGATCCACCAGCTCTTTCTGAATTATGTGTACTTGAAACCTTAATTTGCTTTTTAAAAGCAGAATGTTTCATTCTCAGGGAAGCAAGTGCAGCAGGAATATTTGCTTGCTTGTTGTTAACTTTGTCTTCCTCCAGGCATGTGGTCTTTAAATGGAGACTTTCAGGGAATAGTAACATGGATACTTGGACCCATTGCTTGTGGATGAATTTCAGAAACCTAGAGAAATGCTGCTTGTTTATTGTGGACATTTGTGTGGCATCAGGCAGTGTTCACAGATTGTTTCGGCATTCTAAAGCAGAACACAATTAAGAAACACTGTTTTGAAATTTACTCAAATGATATAATTGATTAAGAGTTAAGGTCCTCATATAGGTAGCATCTATGACTCATTAAATCCTATGAATTTTGATATCCAAAAACAAATATAGGACTGGTTATGTGTAATTCCAGAAATATCATTAATCACTCGCTTTTAAGATGTGTGAAGACTGTAATATTGGCTAGTAAATTTTATCAGTATTAATATGCATAGAACCCTCATTCTTCTTTTTGATTTAATGTATTATAACATGTATGTATTGCTATTTTTTTCTTTTGTTGAAGTGGTGAGGAATCATGCACAGTCAATATGCCGGGTTCCTTTAGAAATGAATTTAGGTTCAATCTGAAGGCAGGAAAAACTTCTTTCTAAGGAACTTTTATCGTTTGCCTTTTACTTTTTCGATGATGGTTTTCATGAGCACTGAAATCATTTGGAGAGGCAATATGAAGGTGTGAATTTGAAACAGCTTCTCAGCATCCTGGAGATACAGCCATGAAGGGCTCCAACACAAGGGAAGCTTAATGCTTCCGTATATTGACATTGACTCCCTGGGCGAAATTCTGTCCCAATATAAAATTCTTCATGTTCAACAACTAAATGTGATAAATGAATTTCATATATACTTTTATGATATCTTTCAAATTATATTAATTATCCTTTTTGGGGGATTGATGGCTTTGAGTAGATTATTTTTTCAGTTGAAATGTGCTGCTAACAGTATGCTTACCCCTGAATGCTGTTTTTCATATTGATAGGAAGACACAAATGTCTCAGGGAAACAACTTTGTGATAAAGGAATTCATATGTGTGTCATTACAGTAAATTGCATATTGTAAATATGACTGTTGTGGTTGATTATAGTCTTGCTGTGATGTTGTTTTGAGATTTGCAAGAGGGACAGGAAAGATTTTATGATTTTTATGGGGTGACTAAGGGATATTGCCAATTTACATATTTTTTGAGTCCATGGGCAACAGTTGTTTTAAAAATGAAGATCACATACCCTAAAATCACAGCTACATATTTGCTATGTGAGATATACCAGATGCTTTATTGCATGTATATAACAATTGCCTAATAATGTAAAAAATTTAAGATACAGATCATTGCTTTATCCTAAAAATAAGTTAACTGTAGTCCTAATTCAAAACTGAATGTTATTCCTCAAAACATGAGAAACTGCCTTTTTCTCTCCTCTCCTTTTGTGCTGTGAAGATTTGCACTGGCCCCAGCTACTGTAGAGATAACAGAAGTATGTGACTGTTTAAATGTTTTCATTTGGAAATAGCTTACCTTACTTTCTTCTGAACAAAGGTAGAATTTTGTCTTTATGGAGGATTATGGCCGACTGTCATTTTGACAATCAACAAATCCAGATGGATCCTTGGAATCGATATGGTGAGTTCACAAATGAAAAACTAGCTGACGTTTCTGCAAGCATGTGAAAAACTGGTCCCATAAAACATGCAGAGAGAAGTTTGTGCCAGAAATAACAAACCAAGAGGAACCACGGCTTTAAGGCCTTAGCACCTTTAAGTCAGACTGTGAAAGTCACTTACAAAATGATATTCTTAACCCATGATTTAGCTCTGCATTTCAAGTGCCATTTGAGTCAAGATTCTAAAATAGAATATAATACTTGTAAATGGCTATTAAATTTTAGCTAAAACTCTTGCCCTTCATGTTCTGTGTATTTGCCTCATACTTCAGTGAATTTTGGAAGAAATAGAGATGGTTTAGGGATACTTCATGTCATGACAAAACATATGAAGTATTTACATGAACCTAACCTTACTTTGATGGAGGTTAATAAGTACTTAAATTAATAAGTATAAATATAAATATAAAGAAAGTTAATAAGCATAAATACTCAAAGGGAAACTTTGACTTGCTAAAGATTAAAGTTAGATCTTTCACGGAGGTCGAACAATCTCCAAGTAAAACCTACGCTTTGAAAAGTCATAGGGCAAAAGGAAGGCAAGGGATTCCCTAGTGCCCAGGTCGCTCAGCAGGCTGCCACTCACTAGAGGGTGAGCAACGGCAAAGGGTAGCTCCGGAGCCTTCATTGATTTCTGCTGCTGGCTTTCCCAGAGGCATCTGACCATATTCTTCCCCAGCATGCAGCTATCATTGGACTTTTAGCCAAGCACCATCACGAGCAAGTTGACCACCCAGAACAGTATCAAAAGGCCCCCAAGTCACTTTATAACCTGCTGGCTGGTGGAATCCATAGGAAAGGGTCCCTAGGAGGCATTCCAAAGACATTAGACTC